AAGAATCCAAATAAAAGCAACATTAAAGACTCATCAGAATAGCCCATACAAAACAGAATTAGAATGTACTAGAGAATAAGGGCAAAATCAACAGTTATTTCCATTGAATTCAGCAAGTAAAAGGGATCCATAAAATCCCCTTACTCACCAGGCGGGCCCCCTTTTGTGTTGTTCTTGCCAACGCAGCAGCCGTCCGGCTATATAGAGCCGCTGCTGCTGCCGCCGGCCAGTCACACTGCACTGGCATCGTCTCTGTCAACCAGCCATGGGAAAGGTGAGCAGATCACAAGCTAGACAGAATGAAAGGGGGGAAAGAAAAAAACAGCTTCTATACAAGGTCTAAGGAGCCCTGGTGGTGCACTGTTTAAGAGCTCAGTTGCTAAGAGAAAAGTTCGGTGTTCCAAACCAACCAGCTGCTCCACAGGAGAAAGATGTAGCAGTCAGCTTCCATAAAGATTTACAGTCTTAGAAACCCTGTGGGGCAGTTCTACTCTGTCTTCTAGGGTTGCTATGAATCAGAATCGACTGTACGACAATGGGTTTTTTTTTGTTTATTTTTTAATACAAGGTCTAAGGAGCCCTGGAGGCTCAACAGTTAAGAGCTCAGCTACTAACCAAAAGGTCATCGATTTGAACCTACCCAGCAGCTTCTCCGGAGAAAGATCTGCTGATCTGCACCCTTAAGATTACTGTCTAGGAAACCCTAGGGGCAGTTCTACTCTGTCTTATAAGGTTGCTATAAGTGGAAATTGACTGTACAGCATACAACAACAATTGCTGGCAATTGCTGACTTCTGTTTTTCTTTCATTGTGTGCAAAAAGGTCTATTGAAATCAAGTGATAATTTGGGATTATCTTCCCTTTGCAGATCACCTTCTATGAGGACCGGGGCTTCCAGGGTCACTGCTATGAGTGCAGCAGCGACTGTCCCAACCTGCAGATCTACTTCAGCCGCTGCAACTCCATCCGGGTGGACAGCGGTTGCTGGATGCTCTATGAGCGTCCCAACTACCAGGGGCACCAGTACTTCCTGCGCCGGGGCGAGTACCCCAACTACCAGCAGTGGATGGGCCTTAACGACTCGATCCGCTCCTGCCACCTCATCCCCCAGGTGAGTGTGGCTTCGTTTTGGATCCCTTTGGGAATGAAAGTCATTTAAAAATATCATTCTTAAACTACATAGTCCAATTAGACAGCAGTAGAAAGTGGAAGTGACGTTAATGCATGCAGCCCAGCCTAGGTGGTGCCTCAGGTGTGAGCCTTTTTTCGTGAACTCTGTGGTATTGTCTTTTCATTATGTGTTCCCTAACTTTATATGTTAAATGTAATTAAAAAATTAAAAGACCAAAAGACTAATTAAGAAAAAGGAGAACATGGAAGAGACTGAAATTACCATCTTTTCAAGATGCAATTTCAAAGGATAGTTGGGATGGGTGCACAACATGGTGACCATAATTAATGTCACTGTACACGTAAAAGGCAAATGAAATGGCAAATATTTTGTTATATATATGTAACAAATGTAATTTTGTACATACAAAGAGATGTAATTTTCTCAAATGGTCATTTCAGGCCATTTCAACCTAGAAATCCAACACATCAAAATTTTAAATACAATCTGGGACTGTTTAAGTGATTAAAAATACTTTCGCTTATTTCCCATTTGATTATTCTTCCTGGAGACTATGGGCTCCTATGTATGGTTTCTAGTTCTAATTTAGTGGTCAGTTCCTACTAGCTCACTTTGAGGTATAAACTAGAAGGAAGACTGTTTTAGTTATCAAATGCTGCTATAACAGAAATACCACAAGTGGGTGACCTTAACAAACAGACATTTATTTTCTCACTGTTTAAGAGGCTGGAAGTCCAAATTTAGGGTGCCAACTCTAGGGGAAGGGTTTCTCTGTCTGTCAGTTCTCGGGGAAGGTCCTTGACTCTTCTCAGCTTCTGCTCCTCAGTTTCTTGATCTTCATGTGGCCTGGCTGGCATCTATGTTCCCCCATCACTGCTTGCTTGCCTGGTTGCTTGCTTAGTCTGCAAAAGAGATTGACTTAAGACATAGCCTATACTAATACTTCCTCATTAGCATAACAAAGAAAACTCATTCCCAAATGGGATTATAACCACAGGTATAAACAAACAAACAAAAAAAACCCATTGCTATAGAGTCAATTCTGACTCACAGGGACCCTATAGGACAAAACAGAACTGTCCCATAGGGTTTCCAACGCTGTAATCTTTACAGAAGTAGACTGCCACATCTTTCTCCTGCAGAGCAGCTTGGTGGGTTTGAACCACTGACCTTCCAGTTAGCAGCCAAGTGCTTTAACCACGTGTCACCAGATCTACAATACATATTTTGGGGGAACCAAACTGAATCCATATAAAGGCCACGATCCAAAACTGAACTTTGAGGTACAATATTTTCTGGGGAGTGACTGCAGAGTTCTTAGAAGAAAAGAATGTGGGAGGTATGTGTCATTAAAACAGAGTTTAATGAAGAGGATTCTTGCCGCTGGGGGAAAATTAATAAATTGGGGGTAGGAGTCCAGTAAGCAAGCTCAAGAGTCAGGTTGCAATTTGAACTGAAATTGAGGTGATGAAAATAGACATAAAGACAGGCACCATCTTATTTTTATAAGAGCTGAATAATCTGCGTCCCATGTTGTTAGGTGACGCTAAGCTGGTTCCGACTCATAGGGACCCTATGTACAACAAAACAAAATATGCCCAGACTTGCTCCATCCTCACAATTGTTGGTATGTTTGACCCCATTGTTTCAGCCACTGTATCAGTCCATCTCATTGAGGGTCTTCCTCTTTTTCACTGATCCTCTACTTTACCAAGCACGATGTCCTTCTCGAGAGACTAGTCTCTCCTGATAACTGTCCAAAGTACATGATATAAAGTTTTGCCATCCTTGCTTCTAAGGAGCATTCTGGCTGTACTTCTTCCAAGACAGAACTGTTCGTTCTTCTGATAGTCTGCTGCATTTTTGTTCATATAGTCCATGGTATATCCAATATTCTTCCCCAATACCATAATTCAAATGCCTCAATTCTTCTACGGTCGTCCTTATTCATTGTCTTGCTTTCACACACATATGAGGCAATTGAATATACCATGGATTGGGTCAGGGGCAACTTAGTCCTCAAGGTGACATCTTTGCTTTTTAACACTTTAAAGAAGTCTTTTGCAGCTGGACTATATGAACAAAAATGCAGCATCAGGACTGGAGGAAGACTCATTAACACCTATAATATGCAGAGGACACAACCTTGCTTACTGAAAGTGAAGAGGACTTTGAAGCGCTTATTGATGAAAAGCAAAGACTACAGCCTTCAGTATGGATTACACCTTAACATAAAGAAAACAAAAATCCTCACAACTGGACCAATAAGCAACATCATGATAAACAGAGAAAATGTTGAAGTTGTCAAGGATTTTATTTTACTCGGATCCACAATCAACATCCATGGAAGCAGCATGTCCCATAGTGTCCATGAAAATCCTCACAGTAGTCTTACAGAAAATAACTCAATTTTGATCCCTGTTATGGATTGAATTTTGTCACCCCAAAATGTGCGTCAACTTGGCTAGAGTATGATTGCCGATGTTGTGTGATTGTCCACCATTTTGTCATCTGATGTGATTCTCCTATGTGTTGTAAATCCTACCTCTATGATGACAGTGAGGTAGGATTAGAGGTAGTTATGTTAATGAGGCAGAACTCAATCTACAAGATTAGGTTGTATCTTGAGGCAATCTCTTTTGGGATATAAAAGACAGAAGCAAGCAGAGAGACAGGGAGACCTCATGCCACCAAGGATGAAGAACCAGGAGGGAAGCACATCCTTTAGACCCAGAGTCCCTTTGCTGAGAAGTTCCTAGACCAGGGGAAGAAGATTGATGACGAGGACCTTCCCCCAGAGCCAACAGAGAGAGAAAGCATTACCCTGAATCCAGACTTCGAGCCTCCTAGACTGTGAGAGAATGAATTTCTCTTTGTTAAAACCGTCCACATGTGGTATTTCTGTTATAGCAGTACTAGATAACCGAGACAATTCCTTTTTTAAATATTTATATGATTTTATTTATTTTGTTGTTTTTGAGAATATACATAGCAAACCTACACCAATTCAACAGTTTCTACATGTACCATTTAGTGACAATGATTACATTCTTCCAGTTGTATAAACACTCTCACTTCCTTTTCTGAGTTTTTCATCACCATTAACATAAGTTCTCTACCTCCTGAAGTTCTTATGTAATGTTTTGAGTTGCTGCTGTTAATTTGATTCCATAAAGATAGTTTTCAAAAGAGCATAATGCTCAAGGCAGACGTTTGTACTTGATAAGCTAAATTATTGTTTGGTTTTAAGGAGACTTCAGGGGATGTTTTTGCTTTAAGGTTTTAAGATTATCTCCTGAACAAAGGTAATATAGCTGATGATAATTTTCCAATGACTCTCACTTTTCTCCTTTCAAAAGGACTTTCTCTAATAGACACTAAAGAGATGTCATAAATTTTATTTAAGCAAATCTTAATTCACAAGGACCAGAGGTTTGTGGTTAGGAGCTGAAGGACCCCTGAGGTCTGTTCTTAGCTTTGCCGTGAATCATTAGACTCACTAAGATGGGTGATCAGGGGAGGACAATCTCCTTAAGTCTGCAACATGGTTGTTTCAGAAGCAAACCTGGGCTTAAGAGAACTTCTGGCCAGGAGTGGGCAGGGAGGTAATCTCTCTCTATTTTTGTTCATTGACTTCTTCTTTCTTGTCTGCCACCTCAGCACTCCGGCACTTACAGAATGAAGATATACGAGAGAGAGGAATTCAGAGGACAAATGACAGAAGTCACAGATGACTGTCTCTCTCTTCAGGACCGCTTCCACCTCAATGAAATCCACTCCCTCAACGTGCTGGAGGGCTGCTGGGTCCTCTATGAGCTGCCCAGCTACCGGGGGCGGCAGTACCTGCTGAGGCCGGGGGAGTACAGGAGATATCTTGACTGGGGGGCCATGAATGCCAAAGTTGGTTCTTTTAGACGAGCCATGGATATTTACTGAAATGTTTAAATTCTCCATTTTTCTCCTTTAGAATCTATTAAAACATTGAGCTTGTGTTTCTGGCACTAATAGAGTCCTGTCTTTCTTGCAATCTATTAAGCATTCAAAAGCAATCATGGCATTTGGTCAAACACAAGAACATGTGTTTTCAAGATGAAAAGCAAACTCTTATGAAAAATATTATTTCCAGTACTCTTTTAACAGCTGAAGTATGTAGGCTCAAAGAAATGTTCCATTCAATTGGGCTAGATTCATTTGTAATTAGACCTTTACAGACATATTTGTAACTACAATGTTGAATTAGTGCTTATTGAAACACCTCAACTTGTCCCTCCAGGTTATCACCATCAGATATCTTCCCTATATAGTCCAAATCTTCACTGATGAGGAAAGCTGTTCTCATTATTTGCACTTTTACCTTACCTCCATAAACAAACAAATAAATAAACTGGTGCATTCTCACCTCTTCCACTCTGTATCCTTCTCAAAGCCACCACCCTTTTTCTCCCAATTCGATTTCCGATATCCCATTCTTCCATGATATTTACAGTCCAAATATAAATTCACTGTCTTTCTGCTCTATATGCTTGAAGAAGAATTTCAGGATATTCACCAAAACTACATGCACACGGGGAAACTCAACCTCACATCATTTTAATAGGAAGTAATGTATTATCACTATATGTAGAGAATATACTAGGTGGAAAATAAAGAACTGAAGTTTTCCTGAGAAGTTTGTTTGACTGTATGTTTGTTATATTTATTTTTGAAAATTAAAGTAGCTACTAACATATTACAATATCATAAGGAAATTAAAAATAGGTGCGTGAGGACATTGGATTGGAGGAAAAGAGTAGGAGAGATGAGATGAAGCTAGGAACAAAGTTTGAGAGAGAGTATTAGCCCTGCCTATGCCCTGAATTCAGACTTCCAGCCTCCAGAACTGGGAGAAAATAAATTTCTGTTCTTTAAAGCCACTACTTTGTGGTATTTTGTTATGGCAGCACTAGGAATCTAAGACTCTGGATCTCTTTAATCAAGTCTTTCTTCTTGAGAATTAGTTGCTTCCCCTCCTGAGGTACAAGAGGATGGTGCCTCTCCTCTAATCCCTACAGAAAGTCAACAGTGGCGAGTGGTCTGGGGAGGAGATTATGCCCAAACTAATCCCTAATTCTATCCCTTACTCCTTCCCTTCCTCCTCTCCATAGAATGAACACTGGGACCTCAAAGAAAGAAGAGGGTCTGAGGTAAAGATACCATCCAGGCCTGGAATGGGAGGAGGGATGCCCTACAGGATCTCACTACCCCCTAGAGTTGGTGCTGGAAAGGGTTAAGGATTTAGGGTATACTTTGATTGGGTAAATATAAAAAAGGCAGGGGTTCACTCTAGAATGTGTGTTGTCAGAAAACAGGGGTTATTTTATGATTGAGTATCTCTTAAATCTTATCTATAGGAAGGAGGGACTAGAACAAGGATAAAGTTGTGATTGATAAAGAAGTAGCAGTTGATCAGTTTGGCCAAGAGAGGGATGTTTGGTATTTTGTGGGTGACCTACTGACTTTGTTTTTTTCTATGCTTAAACAAAATTATGAAGTGGCCTTATTTTGTCTCATTTCATCATGTTGTTGTTGTTGTTAGGTGCTGTCGAGTTGGTTTCGACTCATAACAACCCTAAGTACAACAGAAAGAAACCCTTCCTGGTCCTGCGCCATCCTTACAATCATTGCTATGTTTGAGCCCATTGTTGTAGCCACTATGTCAATCTATCTCGTCAAGGGACTGCCTCTTTTCACTGACACTTTACTTCACGTTGAAGACTAAGGTGCGCCTGACCCAAGCCATGGTGTTTTCAATCACCTCATATGCATGCAAAGGCTGGACGATGAATAAGACCAAAGAATTGACGTCTTTGAATTTTGGTGTTGACAAAGAATATTGAATATACCATGGACTGCCAAAAGAACGAACAAATCTGCCTTGGAAGAAGTACTAACCAAATGCTCGTTAAAAGCAAGGATGGTGAGACTATGTCTCACATACTTTGGACATGTTGTTAGAAGGGATCAGTCCCTGGAGAAGGACATCACGTTTGGTAAAGTAAAGGGTGAGAGAAAAAGAAGAAGACCCTTAACGAGATGGATTGACACAGTGGGTGCAACAATGGGCTCAAGCATAACAAAGATTGTGAGGATGGTGCAGGACCTGGCAGTGTTTCATTCTGTCGTACATAGGGTTGCTATGAGTCAGAACTGACCTGACAGCACCTAACAACAACAACAACTATTTTACCAAGCATGATGTCCTTCTCCAGGGATTGATCCCTCCCGATATCTTGTCCAAAGTATGTGAGACAAAGTCTTGCCATCCTTGATTCCAAGGAGAACTCTGGCTATACTTCTTCCAAGACAGACTTATTCATCCTTCTGGCAGTCCATGTTATGTTCAATATTCTTCGCCAACACCATAATTCAAAGACTTCAAATCTTCTTTGGTCTTCCTTGTTGATTGTCCAGCTCTCGCATGCATATGAGCAATTGAAAATATCATGGCTTGGGTCAGGTACACCTTAGTCCTCACAGCGACATCTTTGCATTTCCATACTTTATAGAGGTCTTTTGCAGCCGATTTGCCCATTGCAATTCGTCGTTTGATTTCTTGACTGCTGCTTCCATGGACATTGATTGTGCATTGTTTATTGTGGGTCTAAGTAAAACGAAATCCTTGACAACTTCAGTATTTTATCTGTTTTTCATGATGTTGCTTATTGGTCCAGTATGAGGATTTTTGTTTTCTTTATGGTGAGGTGTAATCCATACTGAAGGCTGTAGTCTTCATCATGGTCTCAGAGTAACATGGTTTGATGTTGGTATTCTGTGAGATTGCTTATATCTAATTAGGAGCCCTGGTGATGCAGTGGTTAAGAGCCAGGGCTGCTAACCAAAAGATTGGCAGTTTGAATCCACCAGCTGCTCCTTGGAAACCCTATGGGCAGTTCTACCCTCTCCTACAGAATCACTATGAGTCAAAATTGACTCGATGGCAATGCGTTTTGTTTTTAATTGGGAGAATAAATGGCCTAACTGTGAGTGCTAGTCCAACTTCCAAATGTTAGAGGCTGCTTTTTTTTTCTTTCTTTCTTTCTCATTCATTGCACTGTTTCCCATGAGATAAGTATCATGAAATAATTGAAGCTCTGAGAGGTTATGTGGCTTGCCAAGTTCATGCAGCTACTAAATGGTCATCCTGAGCCCAGGCAGCTTATGAAGCTTTACTGCCTCCCAAACCTCTGGGAAGAGGGAAACAACCTACAAAGCAATACACTGCTCAGGAACCTTGGTGGCACAGTGGTTAAGCACTCAGCTGCTAACTGAAAGGTCGGTTGTTCAAACCTAGTATCTTCTCCGTGGGATAAAGATGTGGCAGTCTGCTTCCATAAATATTTATAGCCTTGGAAACCCTACAGGGCAGTTCTACTTTGTCCTGTAGAGTCAGTATGATTCAAAATCAACTCAACTCAATGGATTAATGTGTGGTTCTTATCACAAATTGATCACTAGGTGCTGATTTCCAGTTAAATGAAGTGCACCCACCAAAGTGAAAGTTAATAGCTATTAAAGCATTGGGTCAAGGCAGTAAGGCCTAGCAAAGGTCAGAAGCTAGATTTCTCCTGCCCTGGAGTGGTAAATCGTGTAAAGAAAGAAATTTTAAGATAGAGTGGTCTCTATCATCAAAAAAATTAGTTAGCACTTGCCGCATTCAACTTCACGGGCAGCTTCTCTGGAACTCTGGGGCACTTCTAAAATGACATAAATTTTCTCCAGAAAATGTACAGAGTATAATTGAATCATATATGTTGAGACATGAATTTCAGGTCAAAAGTTCAGCCTGATGTCCTGATAAATTTAGAGAACACTAAGAATCCAAATAAAAGCAACTCTAAAGACTCATCATAACAGCCCATACAGGACAGCATTAGAATGTACTAGAGAATAAAGGCAAAATCAACAGTTATTTCCACTGAATTCAGCAAGTAAAAGGGATCCATAAAATCCCCTTACTCACCAGGCGGGCCCCCTTTTGTGTTGTTCTTGCCAACGCAGCAGCCGTCCGGCTATATAGAACCGCTGCTGCTGCCGCCGCCGGCCGGTCACACTGCACTCACATCATCTCTGTCAACCAGCCATGGGAAAGGTGAGCAGAACACCAGTTAGACAGAAAGAAAGGAAAAAAACGAAAACAAACAACCAAAAAAGTGGCTTCTATACAATGTCTAGGGAGCCCTGGTTTTGCAGTGTTTAAGCACTTGTTGCTAACTGAAAAAAATCGGCATTTGGAACCCGCCAGTTGCCTCATGGGAGAAAGATGTGGCAGTCAGCTTCCATAAAGATTTACGGCCTTCAAAACCCTATGGGGCCTGCTCTACTCTGTTCTCTAGGGTCGCTATGAGTTAGAATCGACTAGACAACAATGGGTGTTTTTTTGTTTGTTTCTTTTTTTTTTTCTTTTTAATACAAGGTCTAAGGAGCCCTGGAGGCCCAATGGTTAAGAGCTTGGCTACTAACTGAAAAGGTCAGGGTTCGAACTCACCCAGCAGCTCCATGGGAGAAAGACCTGGCAATCTGCTCCCTTAAAGGTTACAGCCTAGGAAACCCTGGGGGCAGTTCTATTCTGTCCTGTAGGGTCCCTGTAAGTCAAAATCGAATCCATGGCACACAACAACAGTTGCTGGCAATTGCTGACTTCTGTTTTCTTTCATTGTGTGCAAGAAGGTCTACTGACTTCAAGTGATAATTTGGAATTATCTTTCCTTTGCAGATCACCTTTTATGAGGATCAGGGCTTTCAGGGTCTCTGCTATGAGTGCAGCAGTGACTGTCCTAACCTGCAGACCTTCTTTAGTCGCTGCAACTCCATCCGAGTGGACAGCGGTTGCTGGATGCTCTATGAGCGCCCCAACTACCAGGGGCAACAGTACTTCCTGCACCAGGGCGAGTACCCTGACTACCAGCAGTGGATGGGCCTTAGCGACTCCGTTCGCTCCTGCTGTCTGATCCCCTATGTGAGTTCTGCTTGGTTTCACTCATGGGGCCTGAGTATCCTCACTGTATTGACTGTGGTTAGAGTTAGGGGAGGTTGTCCTTTAAAAACAACAGAGGGTCAGGAGGGCTTTAGATACTTGCCGAAGCACAGATACATACATTCACAAAAACAGTGGAGAATCTAAGGAAGAATTCCCTTAAGGAAGAATCAGTTTTATTTTTAATTTTTGCTACCATTAGGACAATTGAAAGTTATCCATAACAAATGTAATGTTATAATGCTGTATAAAATAAAACTTGCAAGTGGGAAGTTAGTTGGGCAAAAAAAGGCAGTATTTCTAACAAATTAATTTTTTCTGTAGTAAAGAAATCTCTAATAAATGAATTAGATAGGGTCCACCGTGGACTGGGAAGAATTGAAAACTCTATTGCTAATATACCCGTTGCCGTTGAGTCGATTCCGATAGTCTACTCAAAGGTAGAGTCCAGCTTTAGGATTTTTCCTTTATTTGGAAAATCAGTTCAATTCTGATTCCAAGTGGCCATTTAAACCAATTTTCTACTAATGTATGTGATTTTTAAAATCTCATTTTTGTAACTAATTTATGCATAGATATAAATGTGGTACGTTTGTTTATTTTTAGGGAGATAACACTCATACTAAAAAATACTAATCAAATAAATTATTCACATTTCCCCCAAAATAGAGGTCTGAGTTAGCACAGGGAATTAGGAATCAAGATATTTGAGTTCTTGATGAATTTTAACCCAGAGTTTGAACCTCTTAAAAATTCCATTTCCTAAACAATTAATCCAAAGAACTAATGGACCACATGAACCACAGCCTTCACTAGCCTGAAACCAGAAGAACTAGAGGTGCCCAGCTACCACTACCAAAGGCTCTGATTGGGATCACAATAGAAGGTCCCGGACAGAGCTGGAGAAAAACGAAGAACAAAATTCAAATTCATATAAAAGATCAGACTTACTGGTCTGATTGAGATTGATGGAACCCCTAGATTACAGCCCTTAGGCACCTTTCAAGCCTGGAACAGAACCCACTACTGGAGATCCCCTTTCAGCCAAACAATAGACAGGCCTATAAAGTGAACAATAATACCCGGGAGGAGTGTGCTTCTCAGAACAATCAACAATACAAAATCAAAAGGGCAGAATAAAATGCAAAAAAAAAATTCTGTCTCCTAAATGAGAAATAGAATATGAGTATGCAAGTATTTGAGCCCTGGTGGCACAGTGGTTAAGAGTTCAGGCTGCTAACCAAAGGTTGGCAGTTCGAATCCACCAGCCACTCCTTGGAAACCCTATGGGGCAGCTCTACTCTGTCCCATAGGGTCACAGTGAACCAGAATCGACTTGACGGCAAAGGGTTTGGTTTTTGTTTTTTTTTTAGTAAGAAACAGATCCATCACTGAATTGTACGTGTAGAAATTGTTGAATTGGTGTATGTTCTGCTGTGAATATTCTCAACAACAACAAAAAGTAAAATAAATTATAAAAAGAAAGAAACAGATCCACACACAGCATTCACAGGAATCTCAGAGTCTCTATGTTCACATTGACAAGCCCATGCCCCAACCTATCAAGTTCATCTGTGGTTTCGGCGTGTAAATTCTGGAAGAGGCTCATTTGCTTCTCCTCTTTCTTTTTGTTGACCCAGCAGACAGCCTCCCACAGGATGCGGCTGTTCGAGAGAGACGACTACAAAGGTCTCATGATGGAGCTGCTCGAAGACTGCTCCTGCCTCCAGGACCGATTCCACCTCAGCGAGGTCCGCTCCCTCCATGTGCTGGAGGGCTGCTGGGTCCTCTATGAAATGCCCAACTACAGTGGGCGACAGTACCTGCTGAGGCCGCGAGAGTACAGGCGGTATCAGGACTGGGGGGCTGTGGATGCTAAGGCAGGCTCTTTGCAGAGGGTGGTGGATTTATACTAAAAATAGGTTAACACTACCATTTTCTCATTTTGGAATCTAATAAAGTATTTAGTCTGCATAGTTGGCAATTGTTGACTTCTGTTTTTCTTCTATTGTGTGCAAATTCACTCACCTGTAACTACTCCCCGTTAAAGGTTGAAGAGTGAATGGGGATGGGGGCTGTTCAAGAAGCAGAGTGAGTCTTACAAGGTTCAGAAGTGGGGTTGGGGGATTATATAGCCTATCTGAGAAAGAAAAAAGTGAGCCCTGGTGGTGCAGTGGTTAAGCACTCATCTGCTAACCGAAAGATCTGTGGTTCAAACCCACCAGCTTATCCATGAGAGAAAGATGTGGCAGTCTGCTTCCGTAAAGATTACAGCCTTGGAAACCCTATGGGGCAGTTCTACTCTGTCCTATAGAGTGGCTATGAGTCTGAATCGACTCAACGGTAATGAGCTTTGAGAAAGAAAAAGCAAGCCAAAGCTAGAGAAATGGGAGCAGGTGACTTGTGAGAAGGGAGGCATTTAACTCAGCGCCTTGAACAACATTCTAAAGAGTTTCCTTCTGACCCAAGAGGTTGTTGGAAGCCACAAAAGACAGAGTCACAGTTGAGTGGTTGAGGGGAAACTCAGCTTGGAGAATAGCATGATTAGCCCATATTCAAGGAGTTGTCGGGGTTTTTTTGTTTTCTTTTCTTTTTAATTTATTGTGCTTTAAGTGAAAGTTTACAGTTCAAGTTAGTTTCTCACACAAAAATTTGTACACACATTATGTGACCCTTAGTTTCTCTCCCTATAATGTGACAGCACATTCCTCCTTTCCACCCCAGACTTCCCGTGTCCAGTCAACCAGCTCCTGTCCCCTTTCTGCCTTCTCATTTTGCCTCCAGACAGGAGCTGCCCATTTAGTCTCATGCATCTACTTGAGCTAAGAAGCACACTCTTCATGAGCATCATTTTATGTTTTATAGTCCAGTCTAATCTTTGCCTGAAGAGTTGGCTTTGGATGGTTTTAGTTTTGGGCTAACAGAGAATCCGGGGGCCATGTCTTCTGGGGTCCCTCCAGTCTCATTCAGATCATTAAGTCTGGTCTTTTTACTAGAATTTGAGTTTTGTACCTCACTTTTCTTTGGCTCTGTCAGGGACTCTCTGTTGTGTTCCCCGTCAGGGCTGTCATTGGTGGTAGTTGGGCACCATTTAGTTCTTCTGGTCTCAGGCTGATGGAGTCTCTGGTTTATGTGGCACTTTCTGTCTCTTGGGCTAATATTTTCCTTGTGTCTTTGGTGTTCTTCATTCCCAAGGAGTTGTAGTTTTACTTACTTTCAAGCACAGTATTATATAACTTAATGCCAGGGCTGCTGTAAGTCATTGCCATACTTTTGTATGAAGTGAAAGACCCTCCTTCCTCTTCTGACATGGCTCCTGACTGGGATGCACTGGTTGGCCAGTATAGCCCCTGGCCTGAAGGCTATGTGAAGTGTATAAACTAATAGCTATAATGGTGCCCAGCTAATTTAAATAAATTAATAAGAGATGCACATTAATATTTTAAATAGACTTGCATGATGTGGTGTATCACAAACAGAAAGTCCTTTAACTGAAAAAAAAATTAGGCCTTAAGTTTAAAGTCACATTGAAGAAGATCATAATTTCTTCAGTCCACTGGGCTTGGGGTATGGGCCAAATGAATCTTCCAATGTCCCTCTCATTCTTTGGGGGAAATTTTAACAATGATCCAGAACTAAAAGCATTCCCTGTTTCCTGTGCCAAAAGTGCTTGAGACTCACATATAAATCTCCTACCCATTGCCGTAGAGTCTATTCCAACTCATAGCAATCCTGTAGGACAGAGTAGAACTGCCCCATAAGGTTTCCAAGGCTGTAATCTTTACGGAAGCAGGCTACCACATCTTTCTTCCATAGAGTGGCTGGTGGGTTCGAACTGCCAATCTTTTGGTTAGCAGCTGAGCACTTAACCACTGCACTACCAAGGCTCCTCCATAAATCTCCTAAGGAATGTAAATTCTAATAATAATCAAAACATTTTGTAAATGATTTTTCTTTTTCATTTTCTCATGCAAAATTACAGTGAGCTTGCCATGCCACACAAGATGGCCTTTCTCTTCTTTAGAACTCCAAAAGAGAAATATTGAGGAACCAGATTCCAATACTTTTCTAGTCAGTTTTGTGTGTTTACTGGTGAATCATATGTCTTTAGTAAAAAGTGCTGAGAACAAAAAACTTAATGATAGTTAATGACAGGGATGGCAGATAGGGATAAAGATACTTGAATAATATCACATCATTTTAAATGAAAATATTGTGGCAAAAGAAGAGTATGGCAGTTTTATAGTAAAAGCTGTATTTAATGAAGAACATTAGTTTGAAGGTGAAAAAATTAGCTCAAATCATAGAAGCAGCTTCAACACTGGACAAACAAAGCCTATTGTTTACAATACCTGCCCAGGTTCCCATAACTAGTAAGAGCAAGGATGGGACTCTAGCTCAGGTTTGTTTGATATTTTTAACTGCTATGCTGGTCCTGGAAGCCCTGGTGGCGCAGTGGTTAAGAGCTATGGCTGCTAGTCAAAATTGAATCCACCAGATGCTCCTTGGAAACTCTATGGGGCAGTTCTACTCCATCCTGTAGGGTCACTATGAGTCGGAATTGACTCAATGGCAATGGGTTTGGGTTTTTTTGGTTTATACTGGTCCTAATGTGGGGCGTTCTATAAAGGAATAATTTCTGAAACAATTCTAAGAAAGGATTTTGAGGTATTATAATGAACACCTCCCAAAAAAATACTCACTGCATTTTTCACATTTTTTAAATCAAGTGATTCCTAATATTTTAGATTTCCCAGACCAATTTTCTTTAAGAGGGGACCAACATAAGATTGTCAATTTCAATTTGCCAAGCAGGGACATTTAAGTTTAAAAACACCAATGACTGCCCTGACAGGGAACACAACAGAGAGTCCCTGATGGAGCAGGAGTCGGGTGCAGAATTCAAATTCTAGTAAAAAGCCCAGACGTAATGGTCTGACTGAGACTGTAGGAACCCCAGAAAGCATGGCTCCCGGATTCTCTATCAGCCCAGAACTAAAACAATTCCCTAGGCTAACTCTTCAGACAAAGATTGGGCTTGACTGTGGGACATTAAATGATACTCGTGAAGCGTGTGCTTCTTAGCTCAAGTAGATGCATGAGACTAAATGGGCAGCTTCTGTCCAGAGGTGAGATGAGAAAGCAGAGAGGTTAGGAGCTGGTTGAATGGACATGGGAAATCAGGGGTGGAAAGGAGGAGTGTGCTGTTACAGTATAGGAAGAGCAATTAGGGTCGCATAACAATGTATGCATGAATTTTTGTATAAGAAACTAACTTGAAATATAAACTTTCACTTAAACCACAACAATAAACAAAAACAAAGTAAAATTAAAAACAAACAACAAAAATAAAAACTAAGCACTATCTATATTATACTATATTTTTATATTTTATAAAAGAAAAGACACTTACAAAAGGACCTTTTAACCCTCAAGATACAAAATCCCTAATTAAGCATGGTTCATATCATGAAAGAATAGCTCTAAACTTTGCTTTGATATATAGCTTTTTCACTCAACGAAAAAATGATAGACACTGAGCAGAATTAGAAAACTCTTATTTAGGGTTACAGTTCAATGCCTTCAGGGACCAGGGAAATCATATAAATAAGTAGAACAACCTCCTTTAAGATGACAGAGAGTGATGTGAATTACAGTGAACTACAGAAAGCATGCACCAGACTAAAACATTACAAAAAACATCTCAATACTGTGCCAGCCAAACAAAATACATCTTCACATCCACAGACCTCAAGTTTGTCAAGCTCAAGGAGGATTCTTATTCCTAAACTTGGCTTGAAAGCTAGGGAGAGCCACCAACAACTGACATCACAGTAATTATCTATGAATTCTCTCCCCCCACGAAATACCTTGGCACTTATAAGCCCACAGAGCCTTACCACAGACCCTACAGAAGTGAGAAGAGGAAACTCTGACTATCACTAAAGTTAAAATTCTCCTTCTGTTAAGTAGAATGAGGGCTGATATTCATAAACTAGCTCGCGTTGTAGAAAATAAAGAAAGCAGTATTTCTTTTATACTTCACTTTGTAGACTGACAGTTATATCAGCTACACAATTTATTGATCCTATATGTAGCAAAACCCTAAACTGAACTCATCTTTTCTGCCATCATTTCTGTTTGAAACCTCCTGGCTATTTCGGGGTTGAGAAGTTGTTACTACCTGGACTAGAGCTCAGGACAGTTGTGTCTGTTCCTTATCTCTTAGTGCCCCCTTCAAAGATCAGTCCCCATCAGTCATTCCAGGTAACTTGTCCATGGTTCTGTTTCTGTGCTACTGGTATAAGGATTCTCAGGTCATAACTTAGGTTCAGGTATGCCAATCATAAAACACTAAGTACAACTGAGGGCTTAGGTCTCACACTTGTCACTCCTGGAAGTTTCTGCAGAGCATTGAAATCAATCCTCATTTTGGCCCAGGACCTTTATTTTTCAGCTCTCTGGTTTTTCCTCTGTTTCTTCCTCCAGGCAATAAAAAAGTCCAAGCCCAAAGTCCCCGTGTTTTGGTCCTCCAGAAGTATCCTGAATTTCAGTTGTTAACTGTATGTCATCTGAGGTAGTAGCCCTCACAGATAGCCCACCATGCTCTTCTAGGGTTCCTCGAGTTCTATATTCCCAGAATCATTCCATCCATCTTGCTGTCTGGGGCTCTGCATTCCTGTTCTTGCTCATACTTCACTGTTTTCATCAATTAACACTCTGCCCACAGAATCTTCAACTCAGAAATAACTCTGAGCAAAATGATGATTTCTGTTCTTCAGTTGTTGGCTACTTATTTTCCACTATGTAATGGTATTTAACTTTGCAAACACGTAACTTTACATAATAGAAAACTAGAAGCCAGAAACTAAAGAATTGCGATAATCAAATTGCACATAGTTGGCATTTAATTAATAAATATTGACTTACAAAGACTTATGAGCCAAAGATAAGACAAAACGCTTCCATGGGCCAACATAGGAC